ATATATATATATCTTTCCAGCATCTGCTACAGAATAAAGACTATTCTTAACAACCAGACTGTTAACATTCCATAAAATGTAGAATAATTTTATTCCATAAAATTGTTTTGAAGGAATACAATTACTAATACTACTACTAGTATTTGTGTAAAATGATACAGTGTATATTGTTGTTGTGTGCCACTGACTGGAAACCAATGCATAGCTGACCCTCCAGAAGATTTTCAGAGGCTGTAACATTGTATGGAAAGAGACAGCCCATCTTTCTCCAACAGAGCAGCTGATGAATTTATATATAAATATAAATATATATATATATAATATAGATTATATCAAAAGACGAGACACACTCTAGCAACCTACATCTAGGATAATGAGAATTACAATAAGGCAACATAGTAATAGTTTACAGCAGAACTTCTTAAGCATTAATATCCATATATAGATCACTAAGAGTCTTGTTAAATTCTGGAGTCTTCTCCAGTGTGTCTAAGGTGGGGCCAAGAGTCTGCATTTCTAACACTGTCTCAGATAATGTCAATACTGCTGGTCTACAAAACGATTCTCCAGCTACTAAGAGTATGGAACACATTCTCTATAAAGAGATTGTTCAAATCCCAACTCCATTAATTAACAGTATGACTTTAAGTAAATTGGGTAACCTCTCTGGGCCTTGGTTTGTTCATATGTAAGAGAATAGTACCTCAACAAGAGGTTTATTGTAAAAATTAAACTCAAGATAAAATAAGTAACCTGTAAAGTGATGTTTAGATAGTTTATTTAGCAACAAAAGAATTGGAAAAAATGCCAATTCTAATTAAAAGAGAATAGTATTTAAATGAAGTGTAGAGGAAATGAAAACTCTAAAATGACAAGCATTAGCATATGTTATGAATAGACAGCTTCTAAAATTTTCTAGGTCCCTAGATATAAAATCTTAAATAGAAATAAAGAATTCTGATGGCACAACAGTCCAAGTTTAATAGAAAAGAAAAACTATTGCCAGTCATCAAATAAACAGCAGTGCAGCCGTCCTAGTCTGGGCTATATCCCTTAAATGACACAAGGCATGTGGTTCTGGGTGAAAGGAAGGTAGATATCTAGAAGGAGATTTAAACTTTTCTGTAAACAATTTATGTGGAGAAAATCTAGTAAAAATGACTAACCAAGGAAAAGAAATGCCCAAGTAGTATAGAATATATACTTGGCAATTATGATCCTAAAAACGTCAATCCTTTAAAACATGCTAATTTCAGAAAGGGCTAAAATTAAATAAGCATTATATTAAATAAGAGTTTAATTAAAGCAGCATGACTCAAGAGAACACAGAAAAGAATTTGTGACTAAGTCAAATTAATGTCAACTTGAGATTTCCCCTGGAATAGGATGATGAGTTCATTTACTTTTTCAAAGGCTAGTTCATGAGTAACTACTAATTAAGAGGAAACATCACTGATGAGTTCTGTCAACTTACTAAATATATTTTAACCAAAATGAGGTTTTCCTACATGACAACATGAAGACATTATTTCTTGAATGTCAAACACAAACTGCCTGAAAGTATAGCACTGTGACAAATGTACGCCCACTCCTCACTTACCAACATGAGAAGGTTCCAGAGATCAGGCTGTTGTACGTAAATCAGCCTTATGTGAAAAGAAAGAATGACTACATCATTGCATAACTGTCAAACCACTGAGAATCACTGCTCAGCCAAACCAACACATAATAGCCAGCACACTTTTGCTTTGTATCACAGCATGAGTCACTGTCAGACGTGCACCATTAATGCAAATAGTTGGGTAGTAGATTTTTACTATTATTATGACATGAAATGAAAGATGACAAGATAGTTTATTAAGCGAAAAGCAAGAGTTTTTATAGCAATCATGTTTACATACCTTTGCTAAAATTGCTAAAGTGCAAGCAATGCCCAACTCCCCACCTCCAACTACAGTAATTTTATTAACTGTTTTAGTCTCTTGATTTGCCCAGCTCCTTGAATTTATGTCTGAGACACCTAAAAAAGAAAAGTGAATTATCATGAGAATTTTAAAGCAATTTCAAAAGTCATTTAGCACCTCACTGAAAGTACACTAGATTTCGAAAACTCTAACAGAAAACTCAATATTTATCTACAATTAAAACCACCAGTTACTCTTAGATCAACTCTGACTCACAGTGACTTTATGTCTGTCAGGTCAAAACTGGGATCCACAAAATTTCTCATGGCTGCTGTTTCAGATGTAGGTTGTCAGGCCTTTCTTTTGAGGTATCTCTGGGTATGGTCAAACTTCCAAACTTTTGGTTAAGGATTTTTACAACACTAGGGACTCCAGTTCATAATAAACACCCACTATTACTGAGCAATTCCAACTCATACTGGGAAAATTAGAACTGACCTAAGTATTTCTAATACTACGAATCTTCCAAAGTTCCTTCCAGGCCACAACACTGCTGCTGCTATTGTTAGGGACCTTCAAGCCAACTACAACCCATAACAGTCCTACATATAACAGATCGAAATCTTGCCTGATCCTACACCGTCTTCACAATCTCTGCTGTGCTCAAGCCCACTGTAACAGTCACTGTGTCAAATCCATCTTGTTGAGGATTTCCCTCTCTTTGGTAGATTCCCTACCTTTCGTAGCATGATGTGTTTTCCCAAGATTGTTCCCTCCTGACAACATGCCCAAAGTATGTGAGATGAAGTCTCACCATCTTTGTCTTTAAGAAACACCCTACTTACACTTCTTCCAGCATAGATCTACTTGTTCTTTTGGCAGTCCATGACACAGTCAATATTCTTTGACAATACCACAACTCAAAATCACCAATTCTTCTGCCTGTAACAGGCACTTAAAAAAAATACTTGTCAAAGTAATGAATGTAGGAAAATACAAGAATCTAAGTTTTAAAATCCTTGGTCTCTTACTTAAACATTCTACTAAATTGAGGCTATCTTTTCTAAAAGAAAGTAACTTTCTAAGCATTTAAAAATTACTAATAAGATTCTATAGGATGCTATTTTTTTAAAAAATGGGATTTTTACAATCTAAAAATATTGTGATTTTTACTAAAATGCTAGTAAATTTTTCAAGCATGAATATTTGGCTTTATCCTCAAAAAGAAACATTAAGAAACACAGATTTTGTGGTTCAACATACCTTAATAAGGCAACAAGCTCCTATGACTGACTATATGATGAAAAGGCTTATGTTCAGTGTGTGTCAAGTGATTTAGCACAAGGGTCTCTGAGTGTAGCAAATGGTTAAGTACTAGCTTAGTAACTGGAAAGTTGGCAGTTCAAACCTACTGAGTGACTCCTCAGGAGGAATGAATATCAATCTGATTCTGAAAGGTCACAGTCATGAAAAGCCTAGGGAGAGCACTGATATTCTCAATATATGGAGTTGCAATCAATCTAAATCAACTTGACTGAAACTTTTTGTTAAAGAACAACAAAAAAACCCCCAATTTTATCTATTCATGTAAGAGTGATTTATTTTACATTCTGGGAAACCACACTAATTACAAATGATACCAACACTGATTTATTTTTTATACACACACACACACAGAGAGAGAGAGAGAGAGAGAGAGAGAGAAATTTTTAATCTTAAATATACACACACCTCACACATTTATTTGTGGAAATAAATGAAAGCAAGCAGCAGAAAATGAAAAATGCCAGTGAAAGAAGTAAAATAACTTTAAGACAATCTAACTGACAACATTACAAACCTTCAGTGATTTTTGCAATATATGCTAGCAAGTCGGCCTGCCGTGCTTCATCAGATGATGATGACAGAGAATACAGCGGAAGTTCTTCTTGAAACTTTGTGATCATTTCTTTGATTAATCCAACAATGACAGATTTAGGCTGCAGAATACACACAAAGGAAATAGTTACACACACATTTTGCTAAAGAAGAGTACCTTCTTAATCTATATGTCAAGACAATAGTAAAAAAGAAATTCCATCATGATCTCATTTCTTAAAAAACTACTGAAATACATTAAAACTAAGTGGAAAAACAGTAAGTCTATATATCCCAAAAGTAAAAGGAGGTGGGGGGAAGAAAGCACAAATGCTATGAAGAACAAAGAAAAACCACTATGCTACTTAAACAAAATCTGCAGGCCTAATTCAGCAATGTCAATATCTTGGGCAAACACTTTGTAAATCAGCCTAGATGACCTCTCAATTCCTTCCTGTTCCAAAATCCTATATAATTTAGCTGCATGTTAAACTTAGAGGCAAGGTGGTACCTTTAAGCACCTGACTTCTAGCTGAAAGGCTGACCTTCAGTATTTACCCAAATGCATCAGACAGGCATGGTGTTCTGCTTCTGAAAGATCAGAGCCTTGAAAAACCTTCTGCAGTAGTTCTACTATGTACACATGGCGTTTACCATGACTCAGAATTGGTTTGGCCAATCAACAACATTCATCACATTTAGCTTTTAATCTTATTTTAATCATCAAATAATTATGCTCAAGTTAATAAAGTAAAAAGTCATAGGTTTCCTACCTCAACTCTACTGTTAACAATTTGATGTGTGTCGTTTATTTTTTCCTTTTAAAAAGTATTACCTTTGAGAAATATAAAAATCACAAAAAACCAAATGCATTCATAATTCTAAGATTTTTTTAAAAACAGTTTTGTTATTGAGAACATATACCAGTTCAACAGTATCTTCATGTATCATATAGTGACACTGACTGCATTCTTTGAACTGGGCAACCATTCTCATCTTTTCTTTTCTGAGGTGTTCTTCTCTGTTAGCATAAACTTACTAGATAAGGTTCCTATCTCATCTTTCAAAGTGTGTCCTAATAGATTTGATACTGATATATAACTTTTTAAATGAGCCAAATGTTCAAGGCAGACATTTTTTTCTTGTTGTGTACGGTCAAATCAAATACAACTGGCACAGGAGGAGATTGCCCCTCTGTCTCCAGTGGAGCATCTGGTGGATTCGAACCTTTGGGATTGCAGCACAAGACATTTCTTTTTTAAAGCTAAACTACTGTTTGGTTTTAAGATTATTTCAGGGACCAGAAATTGTACCTGTATTACTCATAGTTAAATGTACTATTAGTGGTACCTGGCTACCACTGCTGACCACTCTAAAAGGGGGTCACAGACAGTAGAAAAGCATGAAAACAGTGAGAGAAAAATGTAGAACAAAAGTAAACAACAAAATTGACCAGGCTAAGGGAGCTCTGGTGGACTAGTGGCAAGAAGCTGCACTGCAATCCCAGAGAGGCATGGTTCGAATCCACCAGATGCTCTTCTGGAGGAGGGGCAATCTCCTCCTGTACTTGCCAGATCCAATTTGATGGTACACACACACAAAATAATAAAAATGAAGAAAAAAAATGACCAGGCTTACTGGTCCCACAGAGACTAGTGGAATGCTGAGGTTATGGCACTTAGGCATCCTTCAAATCTGGAACAAAACAGCCTGTAGCTCAGTTTTCAACCAAACAATAACAACAGTCAGATTTACAAGGTGAACAGTAGTACAAGAGGTACTCACTCCTTACAATAATCAACCACATAATATCAAAAGGACAGATCTTGTTCTGGGATAAAGCTTAGAAGATAGGAAGGGGTAGGTTAGAAGGATTAATGGTAACTAGAATCATAGAGAGCGAGTGGAAAGGGTGTGGTTATATATGGTATTATGTACCATGGAGTCAGAACAAACTCATAGATAATACTCCAATGAGTTTTCAGAGGCAGTAAATCCCACAGGAGGAGACTGGATACTGTAATTGTCATGAAACAAAATGTGTATGAATGGCTGAATAGGAAACCAGTTTGCTTTGCAAACTTTCACTCAAATCACAAAAAGGTGGGGAAAAAGACTTCAGGGAGTATTTATAATTTAAGATTTCAAAATTATTTTAGAGCTATAGTTTCAGAGATCCACTCAACTTTCACACTCCTACAAGTCTTGAGTCCATGAAACTTGGAAATTCTATTGCGCATTTCCATCCTTCTGATTGATTCTTCTACAGAATCTTTGATCATAATGTTCTACTTGCAAAGGAAGTAACTGTTGATGGAGGCAACCTAGCCACTCATTTCATTTCCTCCAGTTTCTGACTCTCCTTCCTCTGTTGCTCTAGATCTATACAGACCAAACGTTGTGTGTTGGGTGACTGCCTGTAAGTTTTTAAGAACCCAGGTATTACACAACAAACTGGGAGGTAGAATAGTTGCATGCTTTTTTAAATGAGAAAGTTTCAAAGGTATGGATAATTTAAGGTTAAAAGTGGTTAAGCAGATGTTGATTTTATAATAAATTTTTATATATACTGTATATAATTTGGGAATGTCTCTTTTGCAATACAGGAGAGTGGGTAAAGATACAGTATACTATAAAATCTGAATTGAAACAAGAGTCAATCTGAAATTTTTTTCTGGCAAGCTCTTTGTGCACTGTCAGCTTGGATAGCTACGCTGCACACACTGCACTTCAGCAAGCAACTCTGACCAAAGCAGGGGAGAGCTGATGTTGCATGAGTCAATAGCAATTTGTAAGATCTTTAAGCACCAGCAAGTAAACACCATAAATCATCACTTATGGTAGTTTTTACTGATAAATCTGGTGAAAATGTCACTTACAAATTCTCAGTGTACCCTTCCTTACCCAGGAAAATACCAAAACAAATCAAGACACTTCAGAAAGCTGAGCAGAAATACAGTTTAAAAAATCAGGAAAGCACATATTAAAAATTGTCTAGGAGCTCTGGTAGCCTTGTGGCAAGAAGCAATCCCGAAGGCACATGGTTCGAGGCCATCAGCTGCTTCACAGGAGAAGGATGGGCAATCTCTTCCCATGTGTGATTAACTACCTCTGAAAACCAGCTGGAGGGTCAGCTAAGGGTTGGTTCCAACTCGATGGTACACAACAACAACAACAACAACAAAACCTTTAATAAATAATAATAAATGTTTGAAAAAAGTTTTTTCAAAAAAATTCTTTCTAAATGGCAGTTCTGACCATTTAACACTTAATATTATGGAACTGAACAATAAGCTCCAAATATTTTTGTTCAGTCTTTACTGAAATTATAGTTTGAATGTATAAATAATAAATGTTCACTCCCTATTGATAAGCCAGGGATCTGTCAGGGATTTTAGCTTTTTGCTTCATTTCTATATCACAACGCTTGGCACAAAGAAGGCATCAAATATTTGTTGAATAAAACATAGGCATAATACCTAATGAGAAATTGAGTAAAGATGGTGACACAAGTCTTGTTACAAACACATAGTAGAGAGCTGGAGATTATTCTTAATGTAAATTTGAGGGGGGGAATTTAAAACCTTGTCATGATAAAACTGAATAGCTTCTTTGCAAAAAGCTTTCTTATGGTATTTAAATGGTTACTTTAAACTTGAGGATATGATGTCTATTTCACATGTCTGAAATGTTTGGTATAAGAAAATTAATTCATCCATCAGACTTGTTAGTAACTCACTAATTATACTTTTAGTCATCTTAATGAACCCAGATAGCAGGATATAAATTTCTCTTAATAGTTTAGAAAAGCATCTGTTTCCTTCTTGCATATATTCCCGTAAATAAAGGGGGAAAAAAGATTATACTTCAGTCACTTTCTTTTTTTAAAAAAAAAAAAGATTATAGGAATTTTTTTAATTAGTCAAGATATTTTTTCTTATAGTAGAATATTCAGGATTTGTGAGGAATATAAGATGAAGTATAAGTGCTTTAAATGAAAACATATCTAAACTAAAACAGTCTATTATTACATAAATGTTTATCTCAAGGTATTATAATACTATTATTCTTTCTAAAAGATAAGATCCTCTATTTTCACTGAATTACACAGTTCTTACAAAGACGATATATTCTGTAGCACTGAAATAAAATGTAGTATTTTATTTTTTTCTATCATTGGGATAAAAATTAAATATGCAGAAAAATGAAAACTTTTTGAAGAAAACAGAAATTTATCTTACATGGCTCCAGTTTTGGAGATAGGGGAGATATATTCTGCCTTGGGCATCCACATGTTTTCCAACTGAGATCCCCATATTTGTAGTTGGCTTCAAGAAACAAATGGGTGGAGCAAAAGGGTGAGAATCCAAAATCCACAAACGAATTGGTATGTTGTATGTATTACCTATTTGAAAGAAAATAAACACAGACTCAAGCTATATTGAAGCTTGTGTACTATACTTACGGTATAGCTAATAGTCACTTTAAGAACCACACGGATTATAGTCAACTTTACATACACAAAAGAATTTGTCTCCCCTTCTTTTGCCCACATTCACATTGGAGATATGTTCTCAGTAGGATAATACCAGTGTAACATCTGAAGAAACTATGATCATCCCATTCAACTCAGTTAAATAAATACTAATAAGGTATACTCTGCCAACGGCTTGTGATATAACATCTCCAGTAATCTTTGCCCCACTGAAGCAGAGCTCCCCTTGAGCTGCACTGAAATGATTTGCTTATAGATCTATTTTTCCTTTCACACTGTAAATTTGTAGAAAGAATTATATCTTGTTCATTGGCTTATGATTGGCTGTGAAAAGTAAGTTCATAATATGAATAGCACTGAATGGATGCACAAGCAATTAAAACTGAATGCACCAAGAAATTAAAGCTTGTTCTCAACTCAATAGTTACAGAGACTACCATATACAAATTATTAGGTAACACTGTGAAGAATGGAAATTCCAGAACACTTTAATTGTACTCATGCAGAACTTGTACACAGACCAAGAAGCAACTGTTCAAACAAAATGAGGGGGTTCGGTACGGAAAGGTATGTAAACGATCCTTTCTCCATACTTATTCAGCCTCTATACTCAGCAAATAATCCACTATTCACAATAGCAAAGAGATGGAGGCAACCCAAGTGTCCATCAATAAAGCAATGGACGAAAAAACTTGGTACATCCACCCAATGGAATAGTGTGGATGAAAAACAATGAAATAGTATTGAAAAACAATGAGATAGCAAAACACTACACAACATGGGCGTGCCTTAAGTACCATTATGCTAAGTTAAATATCTCAGTCAGAATTAATACCACCAAATACCACTGTTATAAAATGGGACAGACATGGGGGGGAGTTGGAGAAGGAACGGGGAATGAGTGGATGAATAATGAACACTACATTAGAGCAGGTGAGGGAAAGAACTGTCTGAAAGGAATACATGATTATGCATTATATGCATAACAACAACAACCTGGAACAAGGGATACTTGGCAGAGTGGGCTAGGGGAGGGAAATGGAAGGGAGAGAGGAAAATATGCAACGATGAATAAATTTAAGAAAAAAAAAAGAATTCAAATTGTGAAGATGAAGACATGAAGAGGAGCACAAAAGTTATAAACAATAAAAGTAAATACTATTCCATATGCAATGCTGCATTATCTATAATAAATTATTAATTTTTTAGTATCTATATAAGCCTACCAGCAAGATTAAAGACTGACAAAACCAGAGTACACCTGTAAGTAATATCAGTTTGTTGTTGTTGTTGTTGTTATGTGCCATCAAGTTGCCTGCAACTCATAGGGACCCTACATACAAAAGCCCTAAACCTTGCTCTATCCTGTGCCAATCTTACTGTCTCTGACACACCTACTCCCATACCTCAGTCACTAAATCAATCCATCTTATCAAGGGGCTTCCTCTCTTGTGCTGTTTCTCTATCCTCCCAAGCATGACATCCTTTTCCAAGGACTGATCCCACCTTGTAACATGTCTAAAGTATGTCAGACAAAGCTTCAGAATCCTTGCCTCCAAGGAGCAGCCTGGCTTCACCCTCTCCAAGACGAACTTGGTTGTTTTCCTAGCAGTCCATGGTATATTCAATACTCTTCTCCAGCACCAAAGCTCAGAGACATCAATTCTCCTTCTATCATCCCTAGTTATTGTCTAGTTCTCTGATACATAGCAAGTAATTGCAAAGACCACAGCCTCTATCAGGTGCACCTTAGTCTCCAGATTGACATCATTGCTCTTTAGTATTTTGGACAGGTCTCTGACAGACTTTCCCCTAATGCAATTAGTCTTTTAATTTCGTAGCTGCTGGTACTGTTGACTGTAGAGCAAAGCAAACTGAAGCTGTCAACAATCTCAATCTCTTCACCATCTATCATGATGCTACCAAGTGTCCCAGTGGTGAGAATCTTTGTTTACTTGATGTTGAGCTTCAATCCATATTGAAGGATGCAGTTTAGCAGACAAGAACGAAGTATATAGTAGAACAAACAGAGGATAAAGTTAAAGAAATTTCTTAGGCATAACCAAATGCCCTGAGGGAATGAGCCACTGGCTTGGGAGCTAAGAATCACAGTCATGGGGAACATCAAAGTCAACTGGCACTGCACAGCACATAAATTCAATGTTCTCCAACCAATGGCCATCTAATACAACCATAAGCCTCTCCCCATTTAGTGTAAAGAAAAGTGAGACAAATCAAAGGCTATGAGCTGAGAGAACTAAGACCAGAGGGTCTGGATGGTGCTTGTTTACTTCATTGCTATCAAAGAGATCACAATAGAAGATCTCGGAAAGAGTAGAAGAAAAATGGGGAGCCAAACTAAAAATCATGGAAGAGGCTAGGCTTACTGGTCTGATAGATTCTTCTTGTTGTTGTTGAGTACCATCAAGTTGGAACCAAACCATAGCTGGCCCTCCAGAGGGCTTTCAGAGGCAGTTAAGTACCTGGAAGGAGATTGCTTATCCTTCTCCTGCAAAGCAGCTGGTAAATTTGAATCACATGCCTTTGGGATTGCAACACAGTTTCTTACCATAAGGCCACCAGAGTTCCCTTTGATTTAAAAAATCAAACAACACACTGCATAGAGCAAATCTTCTGTAAAAGACTTCTTTTGAAAATAAAGATGTTGTTTTAGGACTAATGCATTCCTAATCCAAGCCATTGTAATTTTAATCACCTCATATGTATGGCAGTGTTCAGTAATTTCCACATTCTATTGGACCAGTCAGGCAGCTGTCCTCCAAATTTCCTGGCACAAATGGTGAGCATGTCTAGGGCTACCTATGCTAACTGAAACACTTCAATTGGTATCTCATCAATTTCTGGGGCCTTATTTTATGCTAACGCCTTCAGTGTAGCTTGAACTTATTCCTTCATTACCACTGGCTTTAATCATATGGTATTTCCTGAAATATTTCAGTGTCAGCCAATTTTTTTGATATAGTGATTTTGTGTATTCTTTCCATTATCTTTTAATCCCTCCTTGGATCATTTTTGCCCACTGCATCTCTCAGTATTGCAACTTGAGGCTTGAATTTTTTTTAACATTCTTACAGCTTGAAAATGATATGCAGAGCAAAACATTTGAGATGCTGGACTCTATGAAGACTGTGGCATCAGAATTGGAGGAAGACTCAGAGGAAGACTCATTAACAATCTGTATTATACTGATGACACAACCGTGCTTGCTAAAAGCAAGGTACCTGAAGCATTTGCTGCAGAAGAACGAAGACTACAGCCTTCAATAAGGATTACATCTCAACATCAAGAAAACAAAAATTCTTATCACTAGACCAATAGGCAATTACTTGGAAAGGTGGTGGTGGTGGTTGTTAAGTCCCATCAAGTCGATTACTACCCTTAGTGACCTTGTGAACAACTGAATCCTGTCCTATCCTGTGCTATCCTCACACTTCCTGACACACTAGAGCTCACTATAGCAATCACTGTGTCAGTCTATCTGGCTGAGGGTCTTCTCTGCCAACCCTCCACTTTTCTAAGCATGATATCCCTCCAAAGAATAGCCTCTTCTAGTAGTATGTCCAAAGTAGGTGAGATGAAGTTTTATCATTTTTGCCTCTAAGGTGAACTCTGGTGTACTTTCTCCAAGATGGATTTGTTTATTCTTTTGCCAGTCCATGAGTACTCTTCTGCAACACCACAATCAATTCTTCTGTTACCGTTGTTCACTACAGCTCTCACATGCATAACAAGTGATCGGAAAGACCATGGCTTCAATCAGACGCATCTTGGTCCTCAATCTGACATCACTGCTCCTCAATAATTTGGAGACATCCCTCACTACAAATTTTCCCAGTGCAATAAATCTCCTGATCTTTTGACTGCTGGTACTAAGGGTGTTGATTGTGGATCCAAGGAAGATGAAGTCATTGACAACTTCAGTCTTTTCTCTATGTATTATGATGTTGCCTCTCAGTCCAGTGATGAGAATATTTTTTTCTTTTCTTTTTTTTTAACTTACAAAGTTCATATACATTGTTTTTCGCACCAGATCTTTCCCCTTCCCTTTAACCCATCTCTTCCTCCACCCATCAAATTGTGTGACCCTATGATTAAGCCCTTTCTTTCCTCCTTGGATCCTCATACTCATTCAACAATAATGGTCTTATATAGTATTTGTCCTTATGAGACTAAGTTAGTTCACCTAGCATAACGTTCTTCAGTCCCTCCCATATGAGGTAGTAATTTACAAAATGATTGCTCCTGCATGTTGCATAGTATTCCATTGTGTGAATGTACTATAATTTCTCAATCATTCGATTGTGGTTGGGCATTTGGGCTGTTTCCATGTTCTTGTTATGAAGAATAATGCTGCTATGAATACTGGTGTATATGTTTCTGTTTGTGCCTCAATTCTCATCTTCTCAGGCTATATTCCAAGGAGTGGAATAGCTGGGTCATATGGAATGTCTATGTTCAGCTTTTTGAGAAAACACCAAGTGAGAGAAGATCTTCACCCTGAAACCCACAGCGTCCCTTTTCAGCAGGAAGTAGCTAAGAGAATACGCCATCCCCTTTCCCTTATGACTCAGGGTGAAGTCTCTCTCAGGGAGGAGTGATAGGGAATGGCAAAGGACACACAGACAAAGAAGATTAATCAGAACTGGCTTTGACAAGCACTGTGGCATTTGGACAAGAACAAACTGGGAGGAGGGTAGAGAGAATAGTGCAACAATGAATGAATGGAAACCCAAAATCTCTGTAAATGGTTATGAAAATTAATAAAATATAATTATAGAAAAAAAAAAAGAAAACACCAAACTACCTCCCAGAATGGTTGTACCATTTTACAATCCCACCAACAATGTATAAGAGTTCCTATCTCTCTGCATCCTCTCCAATATTTATTA